CTGGAGAAAAACACCGTCAGCATCAAGAGGTAGCAGCATTCTCAAAATACATTTTGCTGTCTTGAACAAGAAGGTTAACTATTTATTAGTCCAGTAGTTCCATATTGTCTTATACTTTCTTTTTTTTTGAGACACAGTCCTACTCTGTCACCGAGGCTAGGGTGCAATGGCATGATCTCCACTCACGGCAACTTTCACCTCCTGGTTTAAGTAATTCTTGTGCCTCAACCTGTAGCTGGGACTATAGGCATGTGTCATCATGCCTGGCTATTTTTTTAATATTTTTGGTAGAGATGGGTTTTTGCCATGTTGCCCAAGCTGGTCTAGAACTGACCTCAGTTGAGCTGCCCTCCTCAGCCTCCCAAAGTGCTGTAATAACAGGCATGAGCCACTGGGCCAGGCCTGGTCTTATTACTTCTATACGTAAGATAGTATCTTTCAACATTTATGTAGGTGAATATTTCCCATGTTCTTTGAGGATTCCAAAAGACTTTGGGGATTGCCAAAAAACTTTTAGGGGTTGAATCTTCACAGTAACTGAAAGAGGCAGTATCAATCCATGAGAGTCAGACTAGCAGTTTAAAAAGACCTTCTGCATAGCTCAGTTCTCAGCGCATAAGGAGATTTCAAAGCAATCTTCTTGCTTTCATTTCTTAGAAGAATTTGAGAGAGATATGAGCAGTAACCATCTATATTATTTAATAGCTTAAATGTAATAGCCTAAGAGAAAACAGAAGTCAAAAATATATAGGCTAAAAAAAAAAAAGCCAAATCCTTTTCTTTCAGGATGTCTGAAAAGGAGAGATTCTATGGAATATGGATACAGAAAAAGAGTGATTCCTATTATAAAAGATGAACTGTGGACATAGTCCCTCAAGACCACTGACAGCAATTAGCCAATTTCATTGTCATCAGGAGGGCACATACCAGAGAATCTGGGAGAAAGCCTGGGCTAGAGCCCTTAGCATTCTCAGGCTTACTGTTGATGTGATTCAACAGCCTTTGTGGGGATGAGGAGAACCAGAGACCACTACCGTCATTTGTAAAAAAAAGGATACTATAGCAACAACATTGTGTATACTATCTGAAATATGATTTGTTAGGATTCTTAAATTTGGACCTCTTACAATAATTTTGAGTGAGATCTGCCAACTCACTTGTGAGAATATTTTTCACAGATATCTTTGGGCCTTTTCATTAGGAAGCTGCTTGTCCCCCGATGGTACATTTGGTTACCTCATTTTGCCATTTGTTTGTTTCAGATTGTGAAAGCTCATGGGGGTGTTTTTTGGAATCATTTGCTGAGTCATTTTCTCAAATCATATTCCATTGTATCAGTTAACATATAGTTTTAAATGTATGTATTATAAATATCTGTGACCAAATCATTTGAAGGCTTGATCAATTTTTAACAAAGTTCATACATTTTTTATGAAAGTTACTAGTAATGCTTTACTAAGTAGTGCAATGAATTTTTATTTTTAATCCCTTTTAATATTTTTAACATGACTGTCAAAAATAAGCTAGAGTTTAGACTGTATGTGAAATCCAGCCTGACTTGCTTTCCTGTGGAGGATTTGAGACATGTAGAGACACCTTAAACACGTGCAGGGGGTCCTTCTTCACTCTTTTCCCTACTTATAACCTATTGGCATATCCCATTGACTGAACCCAACCAGAGGTCAAAATATCCTGTCAATGCCATCTTATAAAAGTCAACTTCCTGAGTACTGAGCAGGGTAAGCAAGGGTGGACAATGGATCTGCAGGGGATTTAGAAAATATTCAGCACATCATCCTATGTTATCTGTAGTCTTGACTGAGATCCCTAGGGATGTGCCTATTTTATAAGATATTTATTCACTCATTCTTTTGTTCATCAAGCATTTACTAAGCACTTAGGGCTAAGCTATGTTCTGTGAGGTATGTAGTAGAGGCTTAAAAATGTTGGAAGATACCGACCCAATTGTCTAAGAGCTCACAGTCCAGAAAGAAGAGCTGATAGTCAACTAACACATGTTTGAGCATCTCCTATATTCTGGACTCTTTTTTAGGTGCCTAGGATATGGCAGGTAAGAAGACAAATCTTTGCCCTGGCATAACTTACAGACCAGGGCAGAAGAAAGGCAAGTGGTTGAAAGACCTCACCGAAGGATGGTTAATGCTCTCACAGGAGCATTCACTCATCAGAAGAACAAGTAGGGCAGTGAGGGTGGCCACAGAACAGTCAGCGAGAGCTTTCTGGAGGCAAGAAAGAGTATGGTTTGAAGGACTCTGAGTCAGTGCCTGGAACCCAGACTGGGGAAGTAAAAATGATGAGAGATGAAGGCATGTCTTTGCAAAAATATGATTATATTACAAGTCCCAGTGCTGAGAAGGACCAAAAAGAGGGACAGGTTAAAGCACTACATGAGCTCACATAAAAGACCCTACAAGACTTGGGCATGCAAAGAGGAGCCAGACAAAATATTCCAGAGCTCCTTGCTCACTGTAATAACTTCCTCCAAGACAGGGGTTCCTATCAACCCTCCCCAGCCTCTGTGCTGCACACAGTGCCCTGCATACCTCCACTCAGTGGCATGCATTCTTCTAGCCCACAGCTGCCCTTCATTGCCCAGGGAGGCCTACCTTCTCCTCTGGAGCACAAGAGTCAGAGTGGTAAACAGAAGTTCTCCAAAGAGAGACTCAAAAGCTTAAAGAAAATAATGTTGTGGGGCAAGTGGGATGCTGGGGACTGCTCAAATCATGTTATGCACAATGGCCCTCTTTGCCCTCATGGAGGTTCTAAGGTCAGAGAAATGTCCAACAACAATGCACGCACTCTCCCAGTTCGACATCAAGTAGTCATGCTTCATAGATGTTGGAAAGATGGATGGATGGATGATGGATGGATGGGAACATAGCAAAACCTAATTCTCTATACTGTGTAGGACTAGGCAGGCTCCAAGCAGTGGTTCCTTTCCCTCACTGAAGCTGGGAGTTCACCAAGTCCCAACATGTCTGGTTCTGCACTAGGCCCTCTCGCAGACATGAACTCATGAGAGGTGACTATAGTTTGCTCCATGTAATGCATAGTAGCTCAGTAACCTATTCCAAACACCAGCAGGAGGTGAATTTCGACTTGACTCTAATGCTTCTGGTTCCAAGTCACATCCTCTCTCTCTGTTCCTTTTCCATTTGCTTCCTCTTTTCTTTTCCTTTTCCTTAGTATTTAACAGGAAGTCCTTTTGAAATGGGATCGTCTCTGTTCTAAATAGGCCTTAATGGAATACTCTTCTTGGCAAAGACACTTTCATTTCTGTGAATTATGGGAGCTCTTGCTACTCTCGAGAGTGTGTTGGTCTTTTAACCTTTCACAGCACTCCTCCACCGCTCATAATATTTAAACCTCAAAAGAACCATATAGGATAATTAGATGCAGTTATGATCCATAGTTTCAGATGAGTAAACACAGGCTCTGGGGAATTTAATAAGTAATCTGAAAGTCATGCAGCCTTACCTTGAGACAAAATAAGAAAGACTCTCCAGAGCTCCAGTCTCTTCCTCCTGGCCTAGAAATGGCAAATGGGCAACATCTTTCACTGAGAGAAGTTCCGAGGTGAAATTCAGGAAATGAGAAAGACCTGTGATCAGTTACCAACGCCTGTCATGGACGAGGAAAACGGAGGCACACGTGCTTGGTATTTGCAGTCCCAAGTTACCCGTAATGATTTCCAAGCTTTAAGTTTGTTTCTCACCTTAATGAGGTATTATGTTAATTCTCTTACAGGTAAGGCCTGGTGCATAGTTGATGCTTATTACAGAGAGGTATTACAATTTACTGAGTGACTACTATTCATCAGGCACTGTGCAAGGCTACATTGCTACATTCAAGTTTAACATTACTAAGCATTTAGATTTACTAAATTTAAATATAGCCTCAGATATACCTTAAAAAAACACATCCCTGTATTACATAGGTCTTAGTACCGGAATTTTTAATATATTAATATAGAATTCTAACATGCTAAATAAGCTCAACTTAAGTTTATTAAGAAAGCATTGGTCAGGCACAGTGGCTCATGTCTATATTTCCAGCACTTTGAGAGGCTGAGACGGGATGATTGCTTGAGCCCAGTTCGAGACCAGCCTGGGCAATATATTGAGACCTTGTCTCCACAAAAAAATTTTGTTTAATTAGCCAGGTGTGGTAGTGCATGCCTACAGTCCCAGCTACTCAGGAGACTGAGTCGGGAGGATTGCTTGAGCCTAGGAAGCAGAGGTTGCAGTAAGCCATAATTGTGCCACTGTCTGGCAACAGAGCCAGGCTCTGCCTCCTCCCCAAAAAAGAGGAAGGAAGGAAGCATTTATATTCATATGTGGGATGAATGCACTGTCAGTATTTTAGTGATGAAGTTTATTGCCAGCGAGCACAGTGAGGACAGGGGCTCTGTTCCATTCATCTTTATGTCTCCAATGTCTGGCCACCTGTATATTAATATAAAAATGGATGAATGAGTGAGTAAATGAAGCTCAGAGCCATTTGCTGATTACTTAACCAGTGACATACTACATGTCCTCTCTCTAGTGGTCTTGAAAGTTGATCAGCTTTGGTCCACAATTTTTTTTTTTTTGTAGAGATGAGGTCTCACTCTGTTGCTCAGGCTGGTCTCGAACTCCTGGCCTCAAGAGATCCTCCTGCCTCAACCTCCCAAAGTGCTGGGATTACAGGCATAAGCAATCATACCTGGCCTCATTAAAAAAAAAAAAAATCGTAAAGACAGGGTCTCCCTGTGTTGCCCAGGCTGATCTCAATCTCCTGATCTCAAGTGATCTTCCTGCCCCAGACTCCCAATAATCATGATAATGGATTATGATAGTGGTAGGTTCCTTATAAAAGGGTCAGTTCACTGCCCCCCAACCCCCACCCTCTCTCACTTTCTCCCTTTCTGCCATATGATAATATAGCAAGAAGGCCTTCACCAGATGCCAGCACCTTGATATTGGAGTTCCAGCATCCAGTATTATGAGTCCATAAATTTCTGTTTGTTGTAATTTCCCAGTCCGTGGTATTCTGTCATAGCCACACAAAATGGACCTGACATAGGAACCTAGTAAGAAGCTATGCTCTCTGTCGAGATGTTTCTGCATTTCTCTGTCAAGATGTTTCTGCATTTCTGAGAGGCAGTGAACCCACAATGGCTTAGGGTGTGTGTGTGTATAAAAGCCAAGAAAAAGCAAAGTGCTGGAGAGGAAAAAAAAAAATCAGTTAATAACTCAAAGTATTATCCCAGGATGTCATCATTGGCCTTAGGCTGTGCTGAATTTGAGTAAAAAGACAAAATAAGATTTAGGGAAATATATTCTATGCTCTTTCTACTCAAGGTACCAGGTTGAGTTTTCAAAATCATACTTGTTTTTTTACTACTTTATTGAGGTATTCAGTACCACCTTTAACAAGGAGGAAGCAGAAGCCATGTGTGTCAACCTTGATTAAAGACCTATTTGTCTTTGCCTCAGCCTCCCAAGTAGCTAGGACTACAAGTGTGTGCCACCATGCCCAGCTAATTTTTAACTTTTTTGTACTTTTTATTTTTGTAGAGATGGGGCCTCTGTGATGCCAAGGCTGGTTTTAAACCCCTGGCTTTAGGCAATCCTTTTGCTGGGATCTTAATATCCCAGCCTCTTAACATGCTGGGATTACAGGCATGAGTCAGTATGTCGGGCTAAAAATCACATTTCTTCATTGTATATATAACATTGGTGCCTAAACAGAAACCCTTGTGTTATCATCAAGGGTCATCCTTGATTATCCAGCTTAATCCTTAAGGCCTACAGCTGATCACCAAGGTGAGTTCTCATTCCAGTGGAGTGTCTACTTGTCAGGACCATGGGTTGGTTTCTCAGGCCCTATAAATGGACTTGTCCCAGGGACCCCAACCAAGACAGTGTGTAACAATCCAATAAAATGCAATAAGAAAACCAGAATCCAATAGTCTCCCTTAAATGTGGCAGTGTTCATGGAGCAAACAGAGGTTTATGTGCAGGAGGGAGAGACTAAAACATCTGTTTCTAGTAGCACAAAAATTCAAAGAAAGTTTCTTTTGAGCCCATTGTTGCTTGGAGTTTGGGAACTCAGCTCCTGCGGCAATGGAAATACCCTAGTATCCAATAATTATGGCAGCAAGAAACCTGTCTCTGTAGGGAAAGGACCAAGACCCTGTTATCTTAGACTAGTACTGCCAGTTTAAAGGCCTCATTAGATATGTAATGTTAGAAATGTTACATTTCTAAGACGGGCAGCTTCAATGCCTTTGCACTTTCCTGCAGCCACAACAGAGTTTGTATATATGTGTGAGAATGCTATTACAGCAGATTATGACAAACTAACAGGCTAGATAGCTCACTTGATGCTTTTGAAATCACTTGTACACAGATTATCTCACCTCTCTCTCAACCACTCTGAAAGACTGATTTAGGCCAGGGACAGATGAACTTGTAACTTAATAGAACTGGAGACATAAAAAACTTAGGAAACCTGTAATCAGATTTGAACAGAAGGTCTTCAAATCCAAAGTATTTGATTTGAATTAATAGTGTTATTAATGTTTTTTCACAAATTTGAGTGGTGATGAGAAAGAGGGTCAGATTATGACCCAGCTGTGGGAAGAGAGGATGGAGATGGGCAGGGAGCAAGGTATATATGCTCTGCTTCCTGATCCTGTTCCTTTTCTAATCATGGGCCCTTGGGCAAGTTGAACAAGCTCCCTGAGCCTCATTGGCCTCATCTGTAAAATGGGACTGGTAATAAGAATGGGTTGTTTGAAGCCAGGTATAGTGGCTCATGCCTGTAATCTCAGCAGTCTGGGAGACTGAGGCAGGAAGATTGCTTGAACCCAGAAGTTCAAGCAACATGGTTCAAGATCCCATCTCTACAAGAAAATTTAAAAATTACGCAAGCATTGTGGCGCATACCTGTAGTCCCAGCTACTTGGCAGCCTGATGCAGGAGCCCAGGAGGTCGAGCCTAGGAGGTCACTTGAGCCCAGGAGGTCGAGATGGCAGTGGGCCATGATTGCACCACTGCACTCCAGCCTGGCCCACAGAGCAAGACCCTGTCTTGGAAAAAGCAGTGGGAGAGAGGGTGGTGGTGTATGAAAATGAAATGAGTTAATTCGTATATATAACATGTGCAGAGCATGCTCATTACGTGATAAGTATATTATTTATTTTCTGAAAAACCAGGAAAACAGTACTTTCTTACTTCTTCTTCAGAAGATGGGGCCAAAAGGGTGGGGAAGCCCACAGCCACTGTCTTGTCTTAGGAGGCCTAGGTGGCAGGGGGAGGGCCTCTGCCTCCTTGCAAGGTTGGGAAGAAGGAAAATCATACAGCAGTGACCCCAAAGGCTGACCTTGGGCAGCTGGAAGACAGGGGAGGTGGGCATCACTCACTTTGCAGTTTTGCCAGCGCATCACTGTGGCTGACTGACCACCTCTGGCCAGGTTTGAAATAAAGACAGGGTGAACTGAAATTCACATCACTGAGAGGCAGTGGAGCAGAGTGGTTCATTGAGCCAGTTCAGCTGGGTTTGAATCTCTGTCTCTCCACATCCCAGCTGTGTGCACCTGGCCATGTTGCTGAGTCCCCCTTTGCCTCAGTTTCCTCATCTGTTGAAAAAGGAATGATGATGATAACAGTACCTACCTCTCAGTGTTGTTTTGAAGATGAAATGAGTCCATTTGTATGAAGTGTTTAGAACCGCATCCTGCATGTGGCAGGGGTCTGCTCTTACTAGGCACACTCTGTAGAAAAAACAGGAGAGACAATTTAGGTCAGAAAAGGTGTCTGAGATTTTGTATTTCCCTGGATCACAGTTTACACTTGTAGACAGGTCGCAGAAAGCTTCAGAGAGGCTTGTTCAAGCTCAGGTAGTCAGACAGCAGGAAGGAGGCTGAGGACCTTGGCTCCTCACCCCTTGGTCTCTGCATCTCCTGCCACACTTGTGAATCCAGGCAAAGGCACATCATGAATATGAGACATCATCAGCTCCCTCATTGCTATGTCACCTCTCTGGGACCCCAGGAATGTGTAGGCTCCCCACCTTAGCTGGAACAAAAGCCGAAATAAAGCAGGTAGTAGGGTCAGCACAGTTACCCCAAGTCAAGTTCGTGAGAAAGGCAAGTTACTTGTTTGGTGCCCAAAGCCACCATCCAGCTAAAGAAATAACCCTGCCTGGGGGCTGGAATGGCAGCCCCACTAAGCCAGCTGGCCCAGAATTCCGGGGATTCAGACAACCGTAAAGCACATACTCTGGAGGGAATATCATGGCAGAAAATGGGACCTCAGGAGTCCTGCTGGTCATGTGACCCTCTGGTAAAGGTTGAAAGCAAATAGCATAGAAGGAAATCTAATTTTTCCATAGGAAGACATGTTCCAATAAGGTTCTGATCTTTTCAATATCGTTCATTACTTAATATAAATTATTATGCCAAAACATAATACCAGATAAATACCAAAGTAAACCATGCTAATCACAAGCAATTAGAAAACATAATGAAGAAAGTAGAATTATCATTTTTATGTGGTTCTTTTTGGTTGTTTATGTATATATAATATATAATTTGATACAATTTAGGTTATAAAGTATATTAAATTCCATATTCTAAATTTGGTATTTATTTTATTTATTATTTATTTACTCTTGAGACAGGGTGTCACTCTGACACCAAGGTTGGAGTGCAGTGGCATGATCATGCCTTGACCTCAGGGACTCGAGAGATCCTCCCACCTCAGCCTCCTGAGTAGCAGACATACAGGTGTGTGCCATCATGCTTGGCTAATTTTTAAAATTTTTTATAGAGATAAGATCTCACTATGTTGTTCAGCTCTTCTTAAACTCCTGGGCTCAAGCACTCCTCCTGCCTCCCAAAGTGCTGGAATTACAAACGTGAGCCACTGTGACTGGCCTGATTTTGGTATATTATATCAAAAGCATTTTTCTATGTCATTAAATATTCCTTAAAAATATCAATTTTTTTTTTTTTTTGAGACGGAGTCTTGCTCTCTGTTGCCAGGCTGGAACACAGTGGTGCAGTCTCAGCTCACTGCAACCTCCACCTCCCCGGTTCAAGCGATTCTTCTGTCTCAGCGTCCCAAGTAGCTGGGACTACAGGCATATGCCAAATGCCCAGCTAATTTCTGTATTTTTAGTAGAGATGGGGTTTCACCATGTTGGCCAGGATGGTCTCAATCTCTTGACCTCGTGATCCGCCCACCCTGGCCTCCCAAAGTGCTGGGATTACAGGCGTGAGTCACCGTGCCTGGCCAAAAATGTCATTTTTAATAGCTGCAAAGCATTCTGTTGGATGCATGGACCAAAATTATTTGAACTATTATTAGGATATTGTCAATTATTTTTACAGCTACAGGAATGCAGCCCTAGATCACTTGTACTTTCATATGTGTGCACACCTCTGATTATGTCCTGAAGGTAAAATCCTGACATGAACTGGCTACGGAGGTTTTGCTTCTACCCTTAGGAAGGACTCAAAGCTCCCCTTTAAGGGCCCCTTGGGAATGAGGAGGAGAAGGGGTGAAGATAGTAGAACAGATGCAAAATCATTCTCAGGACATGGTGCTAAAAGGTGAGGCTATCAGTGATGGTGGGTTGGAAACACTAGTGTCCACATGGGGTCCTCTCTCTCTAGCTTCCCACTTTTGGGAGTTCTGTTCCCTAGGCTCCTGACCTGCCATCTTAGAAACCAGTTTCAAATGACTGCAGCTAAAGGGAAAGTCAATTGAAATAATTCTGGAATATCTTCTGTAAACAAAAGAAGGGCATTTGACCAAACCATGGGAAAGGCAGGGATGCAGCTGGCCCTGGACTAACCAAACAATCCCGAGGAGGGCAGGTTCTGGAAGAATGTGAAACTTCCACTTTGACCTCAAGGAGCTGGGCAGGAGAGTGGTCTCAGAAAAAGGAGATACTAGTTCCTGGAGAAAGGGAAGGGTCATGGCCTTTTGGGTCCTTCTTTCTAAGAAGCTGAGGTGGCAAGATGGGCCTGGGACTGCCTCCCACTAGGGGCGCTACCTGCTCACGCTGTGGAAATGTCTAGAAGTGGCGGCCTTCATTCTGGTTTGCTCAAGGCCTTAGGGAGGAACATTTTTCTTTCGGGTTGTCTCTCTCTGTTTCTTCCTGTTTTCAGGGTGATGAGTCCTGTAGGACAAAAAAATTCAAGAATGGACCTTAGGGACAAGGGCGAAGATTCAAGTATGGACCTTGGGAACAAGGGCAAAGGCAACCAGTAGAGGAACTAAGCCTCTGCTCAAAGGTATACAATTAGCACTGCGGGCTTCCATAAAGTGTAGCCCAGCTCAACAACCTGAAGCTTTCACACAGAGATGTGGGGCCCAAAATGAGTCATTAACAAATACTGTACTTTTCCTAAAGTGTCCCCAATGCATATCTTCCTCCTGTACCTGTGGTAGCAGAAGGCTGGGAGCCCTGGCCAAATATCTGTCCAACTCTTCATCACTATCCAGAAAGGAAGAACATGTTTAGGGCTTTTGAGACACATTGCCAAATTGCTCTGCTAAAAATGGAATATTCTGGTATTAAGCGAGAGTCCAAACCAGGGGGCTCTTGTCAACCCTGGGCATGTCATCTTCTCAATCAGCTTTAAATAGCAGGCCAGTATTCTGCACAGGATAGAGTTCTCCTGATAATCAGTTGATTAGATATGACAGTCACAATCATACCAATGCTATTTGACAAAATATCACATTGCTTTCTTCAATATAATGCTCTTATACCATTTTTAAAAATCAGCCACTTCCTTTTTGTAAGTAAAAAACATTGCTAGGGGAATGGAGTACTTTCGAATGGTGTTGAATTCAGAAGAGCTTCACTGAGAAACTTTGTTTAGCTGTGCTTTTCGTTGTCACTTCTTGAAGTTCCCTTCTTGAGCACAGGCATTAGCATGCAGGTTGCAGGCTTTCTGCTTTCTCAGGGGTTGGTATTTTTTTGAAGACTGGCCAAACATGGATGCATACCTCATCGCAATGGCTGCCTACCATGACTTCTCTAAGCAACAGCATGCTGTAATTGGCAGTAGGCCAGGAGAGCATGTGACAGGCTCACACCAGTAGCCACAGACTGGTATTAGCTGAAATATCAAACTCTGGTTGTTGTATAGTTGCATGATTGAATCAAAGAATGTTAGAGCTCGAAGGACCCTTTAGACCATAGATTTCAACACTTTCCACCAGATCTACCCACCTTACAAATTAAGGAACTGAGACCCAGGGAGAGGAAAATGCTTGTCCATGGTTACACAAGAAAAAGGTGAGGCCAGGTGCAGTGGCTCTCACTTGTAATCTCAGCACTTTGGGAAGACAAAGTGGGTGGATCATCTGAGGTCAAGAATTTGAGACCAGACCCATCGACATGGTGAAACTTCATCTCTACTAAAAGTACAAAAATCAGCTGGGTATGGTGGTGGGCGCCTGTAATTCCAGCTTCTTAGGAGGCTGAGGCAGGACAATTGCTTGAACAGGGGAGGTGGGTTTGCAGTGAGCCAAGATCGCACCAGTGCACTCCAGCCTGGGCGACAGCATGTGACTCTGTCTCAAAAAAAGAATAGGTGGGGCATAGTGGCTCACACCTATAATCCCAGCACTTTGAGAGGCTGAGGCCAGCGGATCACCTGAGTTCAGGTACTCAAGACCAGCCTGGCCAACATGGCAAAACCCATCTCTACTAAATGTACAAAAATTAGCTGGGCGTGGTGCCGCATGCCTGTAATCCCAGCTGCTCAAGAGGCTGAGGAAGGAGAATTGCTTGAACTTGGGAGGCAGAGGTTGCAGTGAGCCAAGATTTCACCATTGCTCTCCAGCCTGGGCAACAAGAGCAAGACTCCATCTAAAAAAAAAAAAAAAAAAAGAAGAAGAAGAAGTTGAAATTTTTACAGTGTTTAAAAACAAGAACCATCAACCTAGGATCCTGTACCCAGTGAAATTATCCTTCCAAAGAGAAGGAGAGGCTTCCAATTTTCAGTCTGGCATGTAAGGAGCATGGACGTCATCAGTTCATCCTGACAGCAAGTAAAAATCTAAACACACTGAAAAAATAACTTGTCCTAGATCTGTCAGGGAAGTGAGGTCACAGGACAAACTACTGGCCCCCAAATTAGAGACAGACAGGCAGATAACGAGAAGCCAAACTTACTGGAGCAGAAACCCACAAGCAAAAACCTCGTGAGAGCCAGTGTCACTGCAGGAAAAACCTACTGGAGGCTTGACAATGACACGTCTGAGAGTTAAGAACCCCAGGGGCCCAGTCATAGGTAAAACACTTTTATGAGTTTACCTTCTGGAGCTCCACCAGGTTCTCAGAGTGAAGATTGAGAGAAAATCCCTTTATGTTCCTGGAGGAAGAAGGGAAAAGAAACCATTTTGAAATATACCAGAGCATTCTGGTCTCTCTTAACAATACCTTCCCCAAGAGAAACTATTTTACCAGGGTCTACCCTACTGGGGTTTAAGCAGAGCTGACCCAGGGAAGGGAAATATCCAACTTCAGCTTCATTTCCCATTCTGTCTCGTGTAAGGGGTAGAGGGGAAACTGAGGAGCCCTTTTAAAGTTCTCACCCCTGAAGCACAGACTCCCTAAAAGACTGACCCAGTCATAGGACTAAAGAATGCACCCCCGGCTGGGCGCGGTGGCTCACACCTGTAATCCCAGCACTTTGGGAGGCCAAGGCGGGTGGATCACGAGGTCAAGAGATCGAGACCATCCTGGTCAACATGGTGAAACCCCGTCTCTACTAAAAATACAAAAAATTAGCTGGGCACGGTGGCACGTGCCTGTAGTCCCAGCTACTCAGGAGGCTGAGGCAGGAGAATTGCCTGAACCCAGGAGGCGGAGGTTGCGGTGAGCCGAGATCGCGCCATTGCACTCCAGCTTGGGTAACGAGAGTGAAACTCCGTCTCAAAAAAAAAAAAAAAAGAATGCCACCCCCACACCTTACACCACACCACACCACTAAAGGCCCGTCTACCCAGTGCATCATGCCTGCCTTTCAACAAAAAATTACAAGGCATAAATTACAAGGCAAAAAACACTGTTCAAAGAGACAGAGTAAGCATCAAAACCAGACTCAGATATGGCAAAAATGTTGAAATTGTCATACCAACATTTTTACACCAGGAACGTCATCAGACCAGGAATTTAGAACATTATGAGGGCAGGAATTTAAAACAACTGTGATGAATTTGCTAAAAGCTCGAATGGAATAAGCAAACAGCATGCAAGGCCAGATGGGTGCTGTAAGAAAGAGATGAAAAATCTAAGGAAGAATTAAAATGTCAATGCTAGAGCTCAAGAACACTGCAACAGAAATGAGGAAAGCCTTTGATGGGCTTGGCATGGCTGAAGAAAGAACCTCTGAGCTCGAGGATTATGTCCACGGAAACACCTAAAACTGAAAAGCAAAGAGAAAAATGACCACAAAACCAAAGACAAAACCCAGGACAGAGGAGCGGGACAACTACAAAATGTATCTTAGACATTTAATGGGAATACCAGAAGAAAAGGAAAGAAAGGAATAGAAGAAATATTTAAAACAATAATAGCTGAGGCCAGGCATGGTGGCTCGAGCCTGTAATCCCAGCACTTTTGGAGGCCAAAGCAGGTGAATCACTTGAGGTCAGGAGTTCAAGGCCAGCCTGGCCAGCATGGTGAAATCCCATCTCTACTGAAAATACGAAAACAATTAGCTGGCATGGTGACACACACCTGCAATCTGAGCTACTTGGGTGGCTGAGGTACAAGAGAGAATCGCTTGAACCTGGGAGGCAGAGGTTGCAGTGAGCCGAGATCATGCCATTGCACTCCAGCCTCGGTAACAGAGCGAGACCCTGTCTAGAAAAACAAAAGAAAAACAAAAACAAACAAAAGATAGTAACTGACCATTTCACTCAAATTAATATCGGACTCCAAACCACAGATCCAGGAAGCTCAGAGAACCTCAAACAAGATAAATGCCAAGAAACCCCCACATTCAGCATATTATGTTCAAAGTGTAGAAAATAAAACATAAAGAAAAAATCTTGAAAGAAGCCAGAGGAGAAAACGCCTTAGTACACGGAGGAGCAAAGATAAGAATTACATCTGACTTTTCTTTAGACACCATGAAATTGTCCAGATGCGGTGGCTCATGCCTGTAATCCCAGCACTTTGGGAGGCTGAGATGGGGAAGGATCACTTGAGGCAAGGAGTTTGAGACCAGCCTAGCCAACACAGTGAGACCCCTTCTCTACAAAAAATTTAAAAATTAGCTGACCATGGTGGTACACACCTGTAGTCCCAGCTAATCTGGAAGCTGAGGTGAAAGGATTGCTTAAGCCCAAGAGTTCAAGGCTGCAGTGAGCTATGATGGTGCCACTGCACTCCAGCTTGGGTGACAGAGTGAGACCCTGTTCTAAAAAGTAATTTTTTTAAAAAAAGAAAATAAATTATGCAATTAAGAAGAGAATAGCATGAAACAGTATTAAGTTGAGGCAGGGGTTGGGGGACGGAATCCCAACACCAACTTAGAAGTCTGTAACCTGTGAAATTATCCTTCAAAAGTGAAAGAGAAGAAAGACTTTATCAGACAAACACAAATTCAGGGAGTTTGTCACCAGCAGACCTGCCTTGCAAAAAATGTTAAAAGAAGTTCTTCTGAGAGAGGAAATTGTGGGTAAGTGTGATATTATAGATATATATTGGTCTTCATCCACAGTTCCTGGAACATAACTCCCATAACCCTTGTTACAGTCCTTTGTTATGGTGTTGGGACACTTTAGGTTTCCAAAGCAGGCCTCAGGAAACAGAATCTCTCTCTCTGACCTTTTCCTGCCCTCTCTTCATCTGCCAGAGAGGGTTCTGACTCCTACCCTGTGCAGATAGACCAAAAAGAATCTGAACAGACAGGCCTGGCTGAGTTTCCCCACTCAGTCTGTTCCTATGAGATCCTTCCTTTTTGGTCCAATCACATTTCAACATGGTGCTCAATCATGCCTTTCCAGTGAAGTCTCCATAAAAGGCCCAAGAAAAGCTGTGTGTCTTGGCAGGCACCTATAATCCCAGCTACTTGGGAGCTTGGGTAGCTGAGGCAGTAGTTTAAGACCAGCCTGGGTAATATGGCAAGACCTCCTCTCCAAAAAAAAATCAAAAACAAAATGCCCAAGAGGACAGGATTTGAGGAGCTTCCTGGTAGCTGAAGACCTGGAGATTCCTGGAGGGAAGTGGGCCTAGGGAGAGCATGGAGGCTCCATGCTCCTTTTTCTATACCTTACCCTATGCGTCTCTTCATCTGTAATATCCTTTATAATCAGCTGGTATCCAGCAGGCGTGCGGGCCAGCCTTGGGGACGAAGCCCTCAACCTGTGGGATCTGATGCTATCTCCAGGTAGATAGTATCAGAGTTGAATTGGAGGCCACCCAGTGTATGTCCATTGCAGACTCAATTGCTTGTTTGGTGGTGGAGAGAAACACTTCTCATATGTGGTCACAGAAGTCTTCGGTGTTGATGACTGCTATTGTTGAGTGAGAGACTAGGCAAAGCATGCTGAGTGTTAGAAAACACACACATGGGCCAGGCGCAGTTGCTCAACCCTATACTACCAACACTTTGGGGGGCTGAGGCGGGTAGATCACGAAGTCAGGAGATCAAGACCAGCCTGGCCAACATGGTGAAATCCCATCTCTACTAAAAATATAAAAATTAGCTGGACGTGGTGGTGGGCACCTGTAGTCCCAGCTACTTGGGAGGCTGAGTCAGGAGAATGGCTTATGGTGAAGCCTAGGAGGTGAAGGTTGCAGTGAGCCAAGATCAGGCCACTGCACTCTAGTCTGGGTGACACAGTGAGACTCTGTCTCTAAACACACACACACACACACACACACACACACACTCACAGTAAGGTATGCAGCTCCACATGAAGAAAAGAAAAGCATTAGAAGAGGAGTAAGTAAATGCAAAATTTCCCATCTTTGCAGTAAAACACCCAAATAAAACAAAGAAATCCCTGAAACATCTGCTTCTCACTGAGTGTATGCAGTTGGAAGAGGGAAAGGAAAGATGACCCAGAGTCTTGTGGGGAAAGACATTGCCCTGAAGGAAAGGAGGAGGGAGCCCCTGAGGCTAAAGACAGGGGCTTAGCGACTTGGTCAAGCCTGGACTGCCTGGGGGGGGCGGGTAGTTACTTCTGCTTGAGAGATGGGCCTGGACACCCCTGCTCTGGGTGGGGAGAGGGTTAGAGGAGGGCAAAACCTGCTTGGGAAGGTCTGTGATGAGAAAAAGCCCACGAAATGGCATCTCATCTAGCCACAAGCAAAGTATGGATCTCAGGGAGGGGCTGGGCATGTTGCTCATGCCTGTAAATTCCAACACTTTGGGAGAATGAGACAAGAGGATCGCTTGAGGCAAAGGAGTTTGAGATCAGCCTGGACAACATAGCGAGATCCCCTCTCTACAAAATTTTTTAAAAAACAATCGGTCTAGGTTGGTGGTGCGCACCAGCCCTTAAGTGTTAAGGGTTCATACAGTTTTTTAATTTGAAAAGTTCTCCTCAGCCTTAACCATTAATTTAGTATGCCCCTCTGTAAGCAACCAACATGATTTTTACTATAGAGGAATTCATACAGGAAAGGGATTTATGCCTACGGTTGTCCATGTATTGTCTGAAGAGGGCCTGCCTTCAAAAACATATGTTCACATGATGTAGCACATTAGAGGTTTAGAGAGGGCAACAGCAACTCGACATCCTTTGGTGACTGCTGAATCCAGCCCTTGGCATACCATAGGTGCTCAAGAAATTTTATGGGCTAGTTGAAAGGATATGGGCAAAACCTCTGTTAGAAATCGTTTATCCCCAAGACCAGTTATAAATCTGTGTCTTTATTTATTTATTTTTATTCATTCAAGAAATATCTGACTTTCTACTATGTGCCAGCAACTGATAATGGAAAGGTGAATGAGTCATAGTCTCTGACCCTGAGAACATTAAGGAATAATCAACACAAAGGGTCCCTGGAACCAATGTTATTAAATAAATAACTGACCCTGGGGAAGAGTAACCACACTTGAAAGGTGTCTTATGCTGGACTGTGTTTAGTTCCTGGGAAGGGTCCCCCTTGGGGAGGCACCATGTGTAGGAATGGGAGTTGGGCCATTTGCCAGTTACTACCTATGTGATCCTGACTAAGTTATCTAAACTCATAAGCCTCAGTCTCCTCCTCTGTAAAAGGGGCGTAATAATCACACCTACCTGACAGCACTGACAGTGAAGATTTGAGAAGGAAATGAAATAATTCATGTTAATAATCACTTTGTTCAGTTTCTGGCACTCAATAAGAATACATACATTTAGTAGATATTTA